ATTTCCTGCGGGAGCACACAGGAGCGGAGCTCCGGCAGTAAGGAGCTCAGGGGGCGGGCACATGCAACAAGCCCCGCCCCCTGCTCCCAGCAACCCTTAGTCAGGCCAGGAGGAGCAAGAAGCAGCCAGGTAAGTTGCAGACACACACACCCCGGCCCGCCTTCAGGTGCAAGCTCTCCCTCCTCTTTGAGGGCAGATCTGCACATCCCCTCCCAATAGCTAGCAATCCAAAAGAGTTCAGTGTCACCTTTAAGTCCAAGGTTTACTCAGGTACAAGCTCTCCCTCCTTTGCAAGGACAGTTCTTCATGTCTCCCCCCCCCCCATAGCTAGCAATCCAAAACTGTCCAGTGGAGACTGAGCGGGGGGTGTTGCCCCCTGCCCCCATTCCGGTGAACACACTTCCGGTGATGTCAGGGGGTGTGGCATATGCAAATAAGTTATACTAATAAGTTATGCTAATGAGCTCCTGCACCTCTTTTTCTACAAAATGACCACTGCTATCATGTAATTTTTTGCACCGCTTAATGTGTGGTGCTCGTACTTACTCTTTGCTCCACTTCGGTCTTCAGATTCCTGATTGGGTCTACAACCCTAATCCTATTGCTTTGCCTATTGGAAAATCTCATCCGGTTGTTTGCACTGACTCACTCGGCATAATCTTGCCTTGAGGGCCAGTGAGGAAGGCAGACCATAAATAACATACCAAATCTCTGCCCCAAAACTAGTGCCGCTATTTTATATGAAAAAAACCTAAGAAAAACACTGTAATATCTTATTGCAAGTACAACTAAATTTACCAGTTCCACTGAACAAAATCTATAAAGGATCACAATTTGTTTAAGGCCTTCACAAAGTCCATCAAATGAAGAGATCAATATACAGTTACTGTTGATGATGTGACAGCAGAAATAAGTTCTTCACAGTAAGCATGCAGCTGTGTGACGCAACAACAGGCGCATCCGGATCTTGGAAGACCGCTTCAAATTAGAAATCCTTCCCCTCAAGGTCATACTGAGGAGCCAATGGCGTTATCAGTATTTCACGTGCAGAAAGAAATTCACGAATTTTGCAGGCATGTGTCCGCTGTCACATTACACGGCTGCATGCGGTGAAGAATTTGTTTCTACTGTAAAAACAATAGTAAAAAGCCCACTAGCACTTTTAAAACAAAAACTTTATTGTAGCATAAGTTTTTGAGAAACACAACTCTTCGTCAGATGCACGAAGAGAGCTGTGTTTCCCAAAAGCTTATGCTACAATAAAGTTTGTTAGTCCTAAAGATGCTACTGGGCTTTTTTACTATTTTGCAGCAACAGACAAACATGGCTAACTTCTCTAAATCAACAACTGTTGTTGTTGTTGTTCAGTCGCACAGTCGAGTCCGACTCTTCGCGACCCCATGGATCATCTCCCGCCAGGCCCTCCTGTCTTCCGCCGTCCTCTGAAGTTGGCTCAATTTCATGTTCGTTGCATCGATGACACTGTCTAACCATCTCATCCTTTGCCTTCCCCGTCTTCTTTGACCTTCAATCTTTCCCAGCATCAGGGTCTTCTCCAGGGAGTGCTCCCTTCTCATTTGGTGGCCAAAGTATTTGAGCTTCAGTTTCATTATCGGGCCTTCCAGGGAACAGTCAGGGTTGATTTCTTTTAGGATTGACTGATTTGATCTCCTTGCAGTCCAAGGGACTCTCAAGAGTCTTCTCCAGCACCATAGTTCAAAAGAATCTATTCTTTGGCGCTCGGCCTTCCTTATAGTCCAACTCTCGCAGCCATACATGACTACTGGGAATAACTGTATATTGATCTCTTCATTCGATGGACTTTGTGAATGCCTTAAAACAAATTGTGATCCTTTATACATTTTGTTCACATTGGAACTGGTAAAGTTATTTGTACTTGTAATAAGGCATTACAGTCTTCTTTGTTTTTTCATTCTGTATACACTGTAAGTCCTGATTGTTTCAAGGTATTTTATATGAGGCAGTACCCGCCACCCCCAGCCTGTTACATGATATTTTAATGGAAAAGCAGAAGAGGATGGATTTTCTAGGCGCTTCCGTCAATAGTATTTCTAAGGTGGTGACATATACAGCAACCCCTTCCAAAGTTTCATTACCCAAGCCGGGTTAGGAAATTTCCATTACCACGTAGCTGGTTTATCTGGACATAGTTTTATTTTGCTCACAATCAGGACCCAGAGAATTTGGGTGGCGGTGGATGAAAAGAAAGACAAGGGAAAAAAACAAATGAACAGAAGATTGCATTGTACCAGTAGGGTAAGTAAAGGCAGGAAAACTGGACACACGGGAGCTAAGCATGAGACGGAAGGTCAGAGGCTACTCTGGACCCAACCCAACACAGGCCCCCAAGCCCACATCTGCTGTCAGCCAGTCCTGGCTGTTCAAAAGCATCCCCGCCACCCCACTTTATGGAGAAGGGTCCACACCAACCGCTGCCAGCCGTTGACACAATAAGTCCATACTATAACAGAACAACACTAGGTAGAAGTCCTCGAGTGCAGTCAACTGGGCAGGTCGGCTTACAGTCCGCCGAGCAGCTGCCCGGCTTTGGTGATACAGCCAACACTAGGGGCCCAAATGCCAGGCCTGGAAGGTTCTTCTGCTCTTCTCCAGCTGTGGCATAAGCATCTCTGCCAGAAGCAGCGCATACACCAAGAGACGGTGACCCCCTCTCACGCACCGGTCATTCCAGTCTGGTTCCTTTCTACTTTGCCACCCGCCAGGAGAAATCACCCTTCCTGCTCCAGCACTCAGACAAGCCAGACGCGTGTTTAAGGTGACACACAGGAGTGTTTGTTAGTGGAGGTTGGCAGGAGTACATGAGGCGGGTTTGTTACACATGCCGGAGGAAGAGTTAACAGCTGCATTCGTCACAAAAAAGACAGGAAACCACACACGCGTGTGAGAAAGCGGCTGAAGTCCTTGTGCATAGAGAAAAAAACAGTCCCTTGCTTGAAGGTGCAGAGGGGCCCTGGGCAGGTGTATTATTTATTAATTCTTTTCCTTTTTTTTGCCCATGCATAAAGAGATGGAAGAGGTAGATGAGGGGGAGGGGAGAAGAGGCTACACACAACACCTATGAGAACGAATGAGAAGAAAACAGAACAAGGATTCTCCCCCGGGGGGGGGGGGAGAGACAGCAGCAGCAGAGCGGACCAAAAAAATCTCGTCCAAGAGAGATGGAGAGGGGGCCTGTTATACTTTACTGTGCTTCCTTGCCATCCAAACCCAGCTTCCCGACGGTCGTCGTACGCCTGCCAGCACAGCTCCACTGAGAGTCGTCCAAAGACGTTGGCAGCTTTGTTCCTGTTCTTCTCCGTCCTCCACCGCCTCCCCCAAGGTGGAGAAAGAGATGGGGAATCGCAGGGCGATGGACTTGGCGAGTGAAATGCATGCGCATGACAGCAGACATTAAAAAAAAATCAGCACCTGCGCGGCATGCTCTGAGACGCTAGTCCAAGTACATCTCGATTTAGGCAACTCGGGGACCAGACAAAACCCGCTCTGAAGGCAGGTTTACCCACCCCTTCCCTGGAAGATTACTCGCTCCTCCATTTCCTCCAACCATATTCTCTACCTTGCTGCTTGAGTAGAATTTTATCTTTGGCATCCTCTGCGTGGCGCTTACCTGGCAATTACCCATGGGCTGAATGGCCCTCACAAGCCAGGTTTCATAGCTGTCCGCTGAGCAGGTGCCCCTATGCAGGAGCCTGGGCAAGCTCACCCTTACAGACTGGCATTTCTTGCAACACGGAATAATGCACTCTCCCTGTGACATGGTTGGTAACCAAGCAGGTACTCACGCGTGCATGCTCACCACCAAAAATATCTCCAAAGTGATGGCCTGGGCGTGGAACTGCTAGCCCTGGACATTCTGTCTCTAACTTGAGACCGATATATATTTTAGAATTAGGAGTCTAATCCTGCTGTAGGAGCCTTCAGAAAGCAAAGCTTACGAGGACTCCTGCATCTCTTAGACCTGCAGAGGTCCTGGGATCTGCACGGCTTTAGAGGAGCAGCTCCGCTTGCTCTCCCGGTTATGTACATAGCAAGCCATGCTGATCCGCAGGCCCGTAGCTACAGTGGGGGCATTTTGGGGCCCGGCCCCCCTGACTTACCACCAAGGCCCCTCCACTTCCCATCCAGCCCAGGCCTCCCAACTTCCAATTTTTTATTTTATTTGTGGTGCTCCCAGGTGTGTGTGGGTGTGTCTGCGCGGGGTGCCCCTTGACTTATTTAAAGAACCCCCCCGAATTAAAAAAATCCTGGCTACAGGCCTGCTGATCCAGCTATGCGTCCCTATCCACCCATCAGAGGAGCCAAAAGCAAGGCCAGAGAGGGGCATAATTTTACCCCACCTCTTGGTTTCTACAAGGAACGCAGACCTTGCTTCAGTTGCCCCCAACCATGGATGCCGGGCGAACTGGGAAGAACAGCAGCCGTGGGAAAAGCCCCCTTCCGCCTTTCCCAAGGATGGAGGGATAAAAGAACCTGCCTAGCCAGCCCCAGGCAGCTTGGAAAGGTGACTCCTTTGCCATTCAGGGGTGAGGCAGGGGGTACTGGCTAGCAGCGGCCATTCACCCCCCACTCCAGGGGATAAGGGGACAGCCCTCACCAAGGCTTGCCAGCTCAAAGATGGGAACTACCTGGAGACTCTGGGGGCGGAGCCTGAGGAAGGTGGGGCTTGCGGAGGGGAGGGACTTCAGTGGGACCTAATGCCACAGAGTCCACCCTTCCAAAGCAGCCGTTTCCTCCGGGGGAACTGATCTCTGCTGCCTAGGGATCAGTTGGGATCCCAGGAGATCTCTAGCCACCACTTGGGAGCTTGGCAACTCTACCCTCACGTGAGGCTGGAGTGGCTCCAGCCAGGGGAGCAGACCCTACAGGCCAGCGGCCCTAGCCCAGGGGCATTAACGCACCCCCCGCATGGCCCCGGAATCGAAGACCTCCTTGTCGTGATGTCAACAGTAAGAGAGGGTTCACCAGATCTTACACAGTCATCAGAAGCTTAGAGCTCATAAGGTTGAAAGGAAAACCCCACCGCTGTAGCCCTGATCTGAATTAGCCCAGGCTACCCCGATCTTGCCAGATCTCGGAAGCTAAGCAGGGTTGGCCCCGGCAAGTACTCGGAAAGGAGACCCTCCAAGGGATACCAGGGCTGCAACGCAGAGGCAAGCAATGGCAAACCGCCTCTGAAACGTCTCTCGCCTTAGAAACAAGTCTAGCTCCGCCACCTAGTGGTGCATAACACTAAGGAGCTAGAACTCCTAACTGCCAGACAATCTTAGGATCTCCTGGCTAGACTACACACAATCCCATACAGTAATTAATTAATTCCACTCCTGTGGTCACAACATTGGGGACCTCCACTGTGGGGAGAGGGCCAGGCCTCTTCCTGCACCCCCGATTCCTACCTTGTCCTTCCGAGCAACAGCATCAAGGTCAGGCCGAACAAAATTGCCCTGAAGCACCAGGGTAAGAAGAAGCGGAGAGCGGAAACTCGCATGGAAACTGAAACCCGCATATAATCGGCAGAGTCTTACCGGCCAACCCACTCACCCCCCATCCACGTCTACGAGGCCCCATTGCTACTTTCAAAAAAATAAACAGAAGAGCTGGTTCTCTCAGGGGTGGCGGCAGCTATGAAGGGGGTTCAACTGAAATCCAGGAAGAGCACATTGGTGTCTCTATGGAAGGCAAGCAAAAGTAAACGGGGGCACCGATGAGGAAGCCGGAATGACGGGGAGAAGGGAAGAGAAAGGGGAGAGGGGGCGGGGCTAGGAAAGGGAGGACGGGGGAGGAGGCGGCAGACTGGAGGGAAGAGGGGAACCACGTTTTCAGGTAAAAAAATAAACTGCGGACAGGAGATGGAAAAGAAGAGAGAGAACAAGAGGGCACATTACACCAGACGTCCCACACTCCAGGCCGCCGGAAGATCCGGGGAAGGAAGGCCCACACCCTCCCCTCCCCATCCTCCGGCCTTCCCTTCAGCAGAGAAAGACACCCTAAAGGGTAACGTGACCCCTTCACGGATTTGCTGATCTCGGCTACCACCCGGAGGAGGAGAAAGCCGGCAGACGTTGTTTCCCCTGCACCCGTGGCCGGCAGGCAGATGGGCCCCTGCTGTCCAGAGCTTGCGGCTCAGTCGCCCGGCTCCCCGTAGTACTTACGTGCAATTGCAATCACCACGATAGCGCAGATCACTCCCAGCATGATCATCATCTGGAGAGAAGAGTCGCCGGGTTAGACACAGCCCTTCGTCTACAGCGCAACTCTCTCCATCTTTAAGGGTCATTCACGCTCGACTCCAAAGCCCCCTTCCCCCACCCCGGATACTAGCCCAGGCAAGCCCGATCTCGTCAGAGCTCAGAAGCTAAGCAGGGCCAATCCTGGCGAGTACTTGGGTGGGAGACCTCCAAGGAATAACAGGGCTGGGAGGCAGAGGCAGGGAATCGCAAGCCAGCTCTCTGAAACGTCCGGGGTCGCCAGGAGTCAACCATGACTCAACCACAGGCACACTCACAAAAGAAAAAATACAAAAAATGTTCTCTCAAAGCTCCCCCCCCCCAAAAAAAAACACCTCCCCCCATGTTCAGACAGTCTCCTTCTGAAGTCTCTCAAGAGACCCTCTCACACAAGGCAACTCAACACGTCACCCATTATCGGGCTTGCCTTAACCCAACTCAGATCACTGGTCTATCCAGTTCTCTACTGATCCCCAACAGCAGTCCCCCTAAGGCGTACTATTTCCCAGTCCTGTCCAACCCAGGCCAGGCGCCAGAATGCTGCCGTCCGCTCAGAACGGTGGCTCGACCCGGCCTCTTGAACGCTCACCTTACAGTTTTTCCACCAGTACTTCCTCTTGAGAGCTGCTGCGCTACTTTCAAACACCTGGGCCCCAGCTTGGAGGGCATCCGCTCGCTCGTCGAGTTCTGATAGCTTCTGGTCTCGCTCCAAGACTTTGTCCACATTCACGCGCATGATATCCACCACCTGGAGAACGAAAAGGGGCCGTTCTGTCTCTTTTCCTCTCAAGGGCCAAGGCAGTCCCCACATGAGGATGCTTCATACCGAGTCAGACCACTGGTCCATCGAGGTCAGTATTTTTTTTTCCATTTTTTTTTCAGTTTTTCACACATATAACATTTCAGTTTCTCAGATTACATAAATTTTTAGAGTTGTTAACACAAGTTGCAAGTTTTATACGCCTTATTACATAGTTATTTATACAACCATTTCATCTTTTATCCATTTATATACCCTTATCCATCTGTTATCCAGTATACTTTGATCTTTACCTTGGAGAATTAAACTCAGACCGTCCATTTGTGCTAATTCTAAGATTTTTGCTATTAGGTCCTCCTTAGAGGGTATTTTATCTGTTTTCCAGTTTTTGGCCACAAGAATTCGTGCCGCCGTTATAATATATACTATTAGGTATATGTCTTGTTTTCCATAACCTTTTGGGACCATATTCAGTAGATAAATCTCCGGAGTTAACTCAACTTCTACATTCAATATTTCTACCATAATTCTATATACCATTTTCCAATACTTTTGAATTTCACTACATTTCCACCACATGTGGTAGAAGGTCCCCACATTCGCTTTACATTTCCAACATATGTTGGATGCTTGTGGATAGCACCAATACCACCTATGGAACATTTTGTAAATATTTTCTTTGTAGGAAATGGCCCTCATAAATTTGATAGATTTCCATATTGTGTCCCATTGTTCAAATTCCATCTCCTTTCCCAGGTCTTGCATCCACGAGAACATGACAGCTTTAACATTTTCATCTAACTCGTAATCGTCTAATAAAAACCTATACAACTTCTGAATTAGCTTGTCACTGTATGATAGCCAAATCTTGCCCAGTTGATTATTTTTATCCTCAAATCCTCTTATTTTATCTTTACCGTATCTATCTTGTAGGAGGTTTTGTTCCCACCATGCTAAACTAATTTGATGTTCACTATTCAATTTTTCTTCTGTTTTTATATTATCGTTTCTTTCTAATAGTATGTTGTAGTTAACTATCTTATTTGATGACAAAAGTGAAGGTTTCACGAAAGCTTCCAGTAGCGATGCCCATCTTGGTACTTTTCTATAAAATCTCCTTTTTATATCACTCCAAACTTTATTTAATGCTCCTCTTAATACATGGCGATTAAAGATTTTATGATTTTTTTCCTTTTTGTACCATACGTACGCGTGCCAGCCCATATAAAGATCATGACCTTCTAAGGCAAAGTCCTGGTATCTTCCAGTAATATCCATTCTCTTATCCAAGTTAGGGTGGCTGCCTGATAGTACAAAGTCCCATTAGGAATGCTCATTCCTCCTCTTTCTTTTCTATCCTGTAGAACTTTCCATTTGATTCTTGCTCTTTTAGGACACCAGATAAACTTTCTAGTAATCCTATCTAGCTCTGTAAAGTATTTTAAATTCTTTAAGATAGGAATATTTTGGGCTAGAAACAGGAATCTAGGAAGTACATTCATTTTTATTGTCGCAATTTTGCCCATCGAGGTCAGTATTGTCTACTCAAACCGGCCGCAGCTCTCCAGGGCCTCAGGCGAAGGTCTTTCCCATCACCTGCTGCCTGATCTTTAACTGGAGATTGCGGGGGATCAGGCCCGTAGCCAGGATTTTTTTAATTCGGGGGGGGGCTTTAAATAAGTCAGGGGGCACCCTGCACACACACCCAAGGGAAGCGCCTGTGCTGGATGGGAAGTGGGGGGCCTTGGCAGTAAGTCAGGGGGCCAGGCCCCGAGGTGCCCCACTGTAGCTAAGGGCCTGCCAGGGATTGAACCGGGGAACTTCCGCATGCCAAGCAGATGCTCTGCCACTGAGCGCAGCTTCGCTCCTCCCCTCTACCAACTTACTTCCTCTACTTGGGCTTGAGTCTGTTGCAGACGGCGATTGCTGGTCAAGTTTGGAGGCTGCCCCGGGGCGCCTCCTGCCCCATCACCACCTTCTCCTGCCCCAGGGGCAGGTTGCTGAGCTGGGTCAGACCTGGGGAAACAAAAAAAAAGAAAAGAAAGGTCGCAGCTGTCAATCCTCAGTATTCGCAGATCGAGATCGGGAACCAAACAACTATGAAAGGAGGCAGTCCTGGGTATTGCACAGCAAGCAGCCTGAGGCAGCCAAGGATATCAGAACCAGAAGAGGTACAGAAGGCCAAGATGACCAGGAGGAAAGGACAACTAAAGGGCACTGTGAAAGGAATTTAGAAGACTGCACACTGCATGGTGTAAGATCAAGATAGGTAGTCATGCTAGTCTGCCTGTAGCAGTAGAAAAGAGTAATAGTCCAGTGGCACCAGAAACACTAACAAAATTTGTGGCAGGGGGTGAGCTTTTGTGCATCACTGCTCACTTCATCAGATACATTTCACACAGTTGATGGGTTTCCATTCTGTACGGCTAAATATGGTGCCTTCCATGGAGACAGATCAAGGTGGGTAGCTGCGTTAGTCTGTTGGTAGCAGTAGAAAAGAGCAAGATTCCAGTAGCACCTTAAAGACTAACAAAATTTGTGGCAGGGTATGAGCTTTTGTGAGTCATGGCTCGCTTCTTCCGATACGGTTCACACGGTTGATGGGTTTCCATTCTGTACGGCCAAATGTGGTGCCTTCCGTGGAGATAGATCAAGACTGGGTAAGCCGTAATAGTCTATCTGCAGTAGTAAAAAAAGAGCAAGATTCCAGTAGCACCTTAAAGACGAACAACATTTGTGGCGGGGTATGAGCTTTTGTGAGTCATGGCTCACTTCTTCCGATACGGTTCACACGGTTGATGGGTTTCCATTCTGTACGGCTCAATGTGGTGCCTTCCATGGAGACAGATCAAGACTGGGTAAGCCGTGTTAGGTCTATCTGCAGCAGTAAAAAAGAGCAAAGAGTCCAGTAGCACCTTAAAGATGAACAACATTTGTGGCAGGAGACAAGCTTCCGTGAGTCACTGCTCACTTCTTCCGATACATTTCACAAGACTGATGGGTTTCCATTCTGTACGGCTCAATGTGGTGCCTTCCACGGAGACAGATGGGTAGGCGTGTTAGACCGTCGACGGCAGCGGAAAAGAGCAAGAGTCCGGTAGCACCTTAAAGACTAAAAAAAACTGCGGTAGGGTATGAGCTTTCGTGAGTCACTGCTCACTTCAGGTATCTTCAGGCATCTGAGGAAGTGAGCGGTGACTCACGCTACTGGATTCTTACTCTTTCCTAGTGTGGTGTAAGTGGAGGGTTTTCCCTGACCTGGATGGCCCTGGCTAACCTGCTACCATCAGAGCTTGGAAGCTAAGCTGGTTACTGCTTGGACAGGAGACCACCGAGGAATTCCAGGGTCTCCGCGCAGAGGCAGGTGATAAGAACATAAGAGATGCCAATGTTGGATCAGGCCAAAGGCCCATCCAGGCCAACACTCTGTATCACACAGTGGCCAGAAATACCAGGTGCCATCAGGAGGTCCACCACTGGGACCAGGACATTAGAAGCCCTCCCACTGTTGACCCCCCCCCCCAAGCACCAAGAAGACAGAGCATCACTTGCCCCAGAGCCCCTATCTATACCTTGTGGCTAATAGCCACTGCTGGACCTCTGCTCCATATGCTTATCTAATTCCCTTTTGCAGCCGTCCATGCTTGTAGCCGCCACCATTTCCTGTGGCAGGGAATTCCAAGTGTTAATCACTCTTTGGGTGAAGAAGTACTTCCTTTTATCCATTCTAACCCAACCGCTCAGCAGTTTCATGGAGTGCCGACGAGTTCTTGTATTGTGAGAAAGGGAGAAAAGTACCTCTTTCTCTACCTGCTCTTTCCCATGCATAATCTTATAAACCTCAATCATGTCTCCCCTCAGTCGTCGTGATGACACAACCACCTCTGAACATTCCTTGCCCCGAAAAGCCTATGGAGTAAGTCGGCTGCAACTGGACAGCACTTTTCACCGCCAAGCGGAGAGTTCATCCTCTTAGTATGGGAATTCAGGGCCACACAACGACATGGACTGACAGCACATCCTTCAGACCGGGCGTAATCAACTCATGAAATGCAGCAATACAAGAACCATTAGGATGAATCCCCTATGGGCCATAACCAGATGTCCCTGCTCAAAGGAATACTTTTTCTGGCCACAAGGTGTTGAAGGCCTGTCTGCCTCTGTAACCTTTGAGTGCTTCCTGGCTGCCCAACCTTGGCGATAGAATGCAGGACCTGACGTCCCATCCGTCCAAACCAGCAGGGCTCTTTCAAACCCGAGAAGGAAGGCAGCAGAGATTACAGGAATACAAAAGTTAGCCAAGTAGGGTTCATCAGACCCCACAGAAAGAAACCGAGGGGAAGCGACGCGACTGTGTCGTGCCCATCTCGCAAAGAGCTTTGCCGGGTGCAACTTTCTCCTTAACGTGGGAAAGACAGGTAAGGCAACACAGAGGTGCCAAGAGCCATCACAGAATCGTAGGCCTGAAAGCCACCACCCTTCAAACTGCATCTGAGCCAGCAAGTTGCGGGGACGGGACGGGACAAGCCTGCCATTCTCAGCCTCCCTGATCCCCTCGGCATTATGGAAACAGCCGGTCTAGCAAACAGGGCCAGGGCGAGAATCACAAAGAGAACAAACAGGAAGCACTCCGATACTCGGAAATGCACCCTGTTTGCCTTGCCGGAATCGTTAGCCGCAAGCTCCTCGGGTCCTTGCTGCAAACAAGGTCACAGAGAGAGCGAGAGGATGCCTCCTTTTTACCATCGTCCCAGGAAGCCAGGCAGGAGCTCAGGGCTGCTACCGTTGAGGCAGCCACACAAAGGAACTGCTGTGTCACACAAGAAAGGAACGGGTAGCGCCAGGAGAGAGCCGGCAGCGAAATCCCTTGGCTTTCCTGCTCCCCCTATTCCTACCCGCAAGAAGCCAGCAGTGGAGTGCTAGTTCTGAACACGGAGCAGAAATTCTAGCTGGGCAACAAAAGGAAGAATTGGGGGGGTCCCACCAATACGGGCCATCCAGTGTAAGATTCTGCTTTGCGCACCAGGCGAGTGGGGTGGAGGGCTGTTAGGTCCCCGCCAGCTGGGGATAGGGGGACAGGGTTGCCAGGTCCAGGTTGGGAAACTCCTGGAGATTTGGGGATGGAGTCTGGGGAGGGCAGGGACTTCTCAGTGAGACACAACGCCATGGACTCTGTCCTCTAAAGCATCCATTTCCTCCAAGGGTCTGATCTCTGCGGGATGGAGATGAGTTGTAATTCCAGGGGATCCCCAGGTCCCACCTGGAGGCTGGCATCCTTAGCGGGGAAGCATCAGCTATGCCCAGGTTCAGCCGACGGATAGCCCTAAAGCAAAGGGAAACAAGTCCCCTTGGAAAGCAGGCAGGTCTGTTTGGGCTCCCCCCCAGGGAAAGCAGGGCGCCTCTAAGGGCATCCGTCACGCTCCACCCTATCAGAAGGGGTCGACCCTCCCAGTCCCATCCCCTTCACACACACGTTGCTACCAGTGTTCCCTCTAAGCTGAGTTAGTGTGAGCTAGCTCACAGATTTTTAGCCTCAGGCTCACACATTTTTGTCTTCGCTCAGGAAGGAGGGCTCCAGAGCAAACTAACATGCAGTATAGCCAAATCGCTCACTCACAGCTTGAATGCCAGGAGCTCACAAAGTAGAATTTTTGCTCACAAGACTCCACAGCTTAGAGGGAACGTTGGTTGCTACCACCCTTGCAAAGGTAGGCTTCCTCCGGGGCAGCGCTTGCCTACCCCGCACCGGGTGGTGATTCACACCCCACTCCCAGCTGCCTTGCGGCAGTCCCCGTCCCTCTCTCGGCAGCCACGCGTGAGCCCCTACCCCTGTCCGGAGCGCCACCCCAGCCCGCGGGTCAGCCGCACAGAAAACGAGGCGGGTTGGCACGTCACGTGCGAACGCAAGCCTGCCCCCACCTTCGCAACTCCGTCCCGGGTTTGCCCCCCGATCCAAATATCTCTACGGGGCGGACCAAGGCTCGAAAAGTCCCACGCCCGGGAGGAAAATGCCCTGCAGCTCGAAGGGAAGGCAGCCCGCCCGGGGGACGGCGACTCAGGGCTCGGCCAAGGCGACGCGCGGCCGACCCGTCCCCATCCAGACCGGACAGCGGCGGAGGATGGCGGGGAGGGGGGGGGGGGGTGGTGCAATGCGCCACTCGGCAGGTGCCGCAACGGTGCCCAGGCAAGCGGCGGCGCCTATGCGGGGGGCCTCCGGCTGGCTCCTCTACTCACATGGCCGGTCTCCCTTCCAGGCACCTCCTTCGCGGCTCGGCGGGCGGGCGAGCAGGGGCTGGCGGCGGCCGGGGGGCTCCTGGAGTCGGCGCCAAAGCAAGAGCCTCCCCCGCGGGCGACGGAAACTGCTGCAGAAGGAGCCGCTCCGCCACCCCCTCCCTTTTATAGGCGGGGGGCTCTTTCATCTTTGGAGGCGGGGCGAGAGTTTCCTCCAATCCGGACCGCGGTCGATCGGAACAGCTCCGCCTCCTTCCTCCGGCCGCAGACCTTCAAAGGAAGACTCCGGAGTGGAAGTGCTGAATCGGGATTCCTCGTAGGTTTGACGCGGTGCTGGGAAGCTGCCGTACACACGTTAGGGGGAACGCGCTGTTTGCACACCACTTTAGAAAGGGCCGATGCCTGCATAAATGCGGGGGTTAGATCGTGCTTTCAGCCACACCTGCTTTGAATATAACCCTTGATTAAGCCCTTTTCAGACACTGAGGGCAGGCGAAACCCTAGCCAATACAGGTAGTCACCAGGCTGTCTGAACAAAGGCGACACGTGTATTTTTGCATGTACCTACCGCTTGGATAAGCACCGGCAGACCACTGGATCCTTCTGTTTCCCCACTCGACACGTGTATTTGGATAAGCACCAGCAGACCACTGGATCCTTCTGTTTCCCCACAACCTGAAGCTGTGCACCTATGGAAAATATGTGCATTGCCCATCAGTGTTCCCTCTAAGCTGTGTTGGTGTGAGCCAGCTCACAGTTTTTTAGCCTCCAGCGCACACATTTTTGTCGTCGCTCAGGAAGGAGGGCTCCAGAGCAAACTGATTTATGCAGTAGCCAAACCGCTCGCTCACAACTTTAATACCAGGTGCTCACAAAGTTGAGTTTTTGCTCACAAGACTCCACAGCTCAGAGCGAGCGTTGTTGCCCATATTGACATAACATGGTGACTGCACATATCAAGGGCACTGCAAATAGTGTACCCTTCCAGCATAAGTGGCTGCCGAGCCCACAAGACGACATCGGCTTTGCTTTTCTATTTTGCCCTCGTCAGGTCAGGGCTGGCTTAAGGCGACCCCTGGTGGTATTTTCAAGACAAGAGATATTTCGGAGGTGGTCTGCCATGGCCTGCCTCTGCCTCACAACACTGGTCCTCCTTGGTGGTCTCCCACCCAAATACTAGCCAGGGCCAACCCTGCTTAGCTTCTGAGAACTGACAAGATCAGGCTAGTCTGGGCCATCCAGGTTGGGGAGACAGATTTACTCAAAGACAAACCACCATACACAGAATGTACCTTAGATTGCATATAGGGCTATGATTTCCCCCCTCCAAGGAACTGGGATTCCTCTGTCACGGCTGGGAGGAGTTAAGCCATGTTTGTGTGTGGCACCTTAAAGGCTAATGAGATTCTACCCCGTGTACATTTTTGCAGAGACTGGAATCAGGTGTTGGAATAAAATGTATTCAGTTATTAAGTGCATTCTTGTAATCCTCCCAGGAGTTCAGGGCGGTATAACTGGTTCTCTTCCCTACATACACACACACATCCCTCCATACTATTCTGGCAACAATCCTGTGAGATACATTAGGCTGAGAGGATAACTAGCCTCAGGTCACTTGGTCAATTTCACGGCAAGCTGGGTCTCAATCAACAAGCAGGCCCTTCCTAGACCAACACCACAACCAATGCTCCCTCTAAGCCGTGGAGTCTTGTGAGCAAAAAATCTACTTTGTGAGCCACCGGCATTGAAGCTGTGAGCAAGCGATTTGCCTACTGCATAAATTAGGTTCCTCTGGAGCCCTACTTCCTGAGCGAAGACAAAAATGTGTGAGCTTTGTGACTTTGCACTGTCTCTTAGCCTCAGACTTCAGAGGGGGTCTATAGAGAGTCAGAGAGATAGACAGGCCAGGACTTTGATCTTCCCTTTTACTGCTCTGATACTATCCCTTTGATGTGTAGATTGCTACTCTCAGGGAATCTTCCTTCCTTCCGGCCTGACACCTTCTGTCCATGCTGTGCTAGCCTTTTCCATCTTGGCATCATGAGGGCAGGACATGCTTCCTGCATCTCTATCCATCCTAGCTAGTTAGACTAGATTAGAATCCTATCTCTACTGTATCCTGTCTAGAATGGAATTCCTTACAGTAAAGGACTCATGTTAGCTTTTGCAAAGATAAAATAGGCTCTGTGTTACTTTGTTCCTGCAGCGCACACACTCCAGATGGGCTCTGCTGTGTTGTGAGCCTTGCACACTCTGCTAAACAACTGGAAATAATTCTAACACCTTCAGCATAAGGAGCCTCCCTTTGACAGAAGGCATAAGATGAAGAGCGCGGAAAAGGTGGCAAGCCTCTCTCACCCACAGCACCGTAGCTGTGTTTCTTGTCAGCACACACAAACCAGGCAGACTCTGCTGCGTTATGTGCCTTGAGCACTCTGCTAACCCAAATAATCCTTTAACCTCTACACCACACTGCCTTTTTGGTTTGTCTTGATGGTGCCACTAGACTCCTGTTTATTCCACTGCCATTCCTTGTGGACCTCCTGATGGCACCTGATATTTTTGGCCACTGTGTGACAGAGTGTCGGACCAGATGGGCCACTGGCTTGATCCAACATGGCTTCTCTTATGTTCTTCTGAGGAGGATTGTCCCTACTAACTGCTGCCTGGATGGTCACTGCACTTTTCTGGATCGCCTTTGAATGTGGCATAGTTACCTCTCACTCCGTACTTCCTGCCTTCCATAGCCGCTTGACCCTGTTGTTTAGAATGTCTTTGTCTTCAGAGCCTCCTGTTAGGGAGCCGGTGTGGTGCAGTGGTTAGAGTGTCAGACTGGGATCTGGGAGACCCCAGGTTCAAATCCCCACCCTGCCATGGAAGCCTGCTAGGCCAGGCACACAAGCTCCGCCTGAATCTACCTCACCAAGGCTGCTGTTAGGATAACATGGAGGCAGGGAAGACGGTGTTGTAAGGTGCTTTGGATCCCCACTGGGGTACAAAGTGAGGTGTGAATATCTAAATAAATATGAGTATCTGCCTATCGAGGACCCACAAAACGCATCCGATGGAGTCCAGAGCTTATGCTGAAATACAGTCTTGTCCAGGGTTCCCTCTAAGCTGAGTTAGTGTGAGCTAGCTCACAGTTTTTTAGCCTCTGGCTCACACATTTTTGTCTTCGCTCAGGAAGGGCTCCAGAGCAAACTGATTTATGCAGTCGCCAAATCACTCGCTCGCAACTTTCATGCCCGTAGCTCACAAAGGAGAATTTTTTGCTCCCAACACAGCTGAGAGGGAGCATTGGTTTTGTCCGTTATGAAGGTCCCACTGGACTCCTCTTCATTTTGTCAGCCTAAGGTACCCTTTCTCTCTCCTTGCTCCTCCCAAGCTCTTACCAGCCAGGTGCACTGCAGTTTCTGAGACTTTAGGAGCAATCCTAAGCAGGCCTACTCAGAAGTAAGCCCCATGTTGTTCAATGGGGCTCCCTCCCAGGAATGTATTCATAGGACTGTGTCCTACATTGCCTTTTGAAGCCAGTAAGAATCTCTGTGGTTTGGGTTGCCTCCACACCATCCTCATGCAGTTCTTTAGGAGACCACCCTAGGGTTGCCAAACTCCAGGCGGGGCCTGGAGACCTCCTGGAATTACAACTGGGCTAAAGAGAGCAGTCCCCCTAGAGAAAGGGCCTGCCTTGGAGGATGGACTGTATGGCTTTGTGCCCTGTTGAGGTCCTGTCCCTCCCCAGGTTCCAACCCCACGTCTCCAGGAGTTTCCCAAACTGGAGCTGACAACCCTGCCACCTACACGTGCTTCGAAAGCCTTGCCACTTTCCTGCAGAGGACAGGAATGGGGTGGGGCAGCCCTTGTGCATCACACGATCCGATTCCCCCTAGCCAGCCTTGTAACACAGAAGGACTGGCCCCCATGATGAAGCGCTGGAATGTCTTAAGAAGGAACCCGAGAGGCACAGCTGGTTAGAAATGCAGCTGTGCTGTGACCTTCGGCCCTGTGGCCTCATCGGCCTTCCCCCTCCCATCCTGCTGGATATGTCTGTCCTTTGTGTCCGGCGTAGCTTAGCTGGGGGCCTTCCTTTTTTGCACCTCTGCAGTGAAAGCAACCCTTTAGGATTTGGACATTCGGGTTCAAACGCTAAGCACGCATTCCCTTTTTGAGATCAAGGCAGCATCTGCAGCACAGAAAGGACTGGAGCCTGCCGGGGGCCTACGGAGCAACTTGTTAACTTCAAAATGCATTGAGTTGCCAACCTGGAGGGGGGGGAAATGTCCTGTCCTTTTAGTAGAGGCTCAGTATATAGCAATGGGCAGATTAAGCTTTTCATGGCATGGAGGTAAATAAGACCACTCGGCAAATAACACGAAACTTTTATTAAAGGCACAAAGCATTCTTCTCCAGGCCAGCTGGCAACCCTAAAATTTCCTCCAGTGGTCTTGCAACAATGGTTAAGCATTTAAACAGTGACCACAAGTGTCACCGGGAGAGGAAAAGTGGGGTTTGAGCCTGCCCAGCTCTTTGAACATTTTTAATGTGGGTAATACTAATGAATAATTATTGTATGGCCTTGTGTGTGTTGTTGAGAAACAAGACTCATTTTATGATTTATATCTGCTACACACAACAAATGGACTGTGCACAAACTTGTATACCGTGAGCCTAGAGAAAGCGGTTTGGAATTACATACTGTGAGACAGAATTCACATAGGAACCACTTGCCTGCATTTTATGTTAATGTAGCTTGCACACATTCAGCTCAGAGAGAATCATGGGAAGAAGAAGCACATGTTAGCCATTGTTAGCAGAAAACGACAACTCAGAGAAGAAGATCCCCCATTATTGCAAAGACGAGATGTCACGTAGAGCATGGACTTTATCTGCATCTGTATAGCAGTTTCCTGTTGACGGTACCAAACTGGCCTGGGAGAGCCAAGATTCATTTGTACTTCAAAGGAGAAACAGGAAGAAGTGACTTCGCACCTAGCCAAATGGTATTCCATGAGCTAGAGTATAGTATTTCAATATTGGCCCAACCCATAGGGACACCTGCCCCTTTCTACATTCACCAATCCGGTAGTTCATGGAATGGACTTGTGAGTAGGTGGGAC